GGGACCCCGTGGGAGGTGACTGAATCTGTTTTGTGGGAGGTGCCCAGGGGGAAATGACAGAATCATGGGGTGGTCTCCCCCATACTGTTCTCGTGGTGGTGAAGAAGTCGGAGATCCGATGTAAACGTTTTATAAGGGGTTTCCCCATTCGCTTGATTCTCATTCTCTCCTGCTGCTGCCATGTAAGAGGTGCCTTTGCCTTCCGCCATGACTGCGGGGCCTCCCCAGCCACGTGGAACCGAATCCATCCAACCTCTTCTTCATAAATTGCCCAGTCTCGGGTATGTCTTTATCAGCAGCACGAGTACTGACTGATGCACCCACCAAGAGACGGCAGGTGGCTTTGCAGAGACCCCAGGGACACCCATTTGCTCTTTTTGCTCCAGACGACCCAGCACTTGTTGGAGAGAGATAGCAGCCTCCGCTCCCATCCTGGCAGCATCTGTGGGACTCCTGACATCAGAGCGTCCAGAGCAGGTGCCTCTGAGGAACCGTCCCAGGAGGCCAGGCAGTGCCAGAGTGTGCGTGAGGCCAGGGCTCCCACCCTGCACCCACCACTTAGCCAAAGAGCTGAGGCCTCCTGGGCGCTGAGCGGCTCTGGGCTCTTCAAGAGACAAGACCGGAAGGAGGGGAGCCTGCGGCCTGGGGGTCACACCTGCTTCCCCCTGACGCTGAGGAGCCCCGGGCACAGGAAGCGGGTCCTGGGGGCCGCCCAAATAAGCCACGCCCTTGTAAGGGTTGTTTTGAGCTGAAGCAGCCGTCCATGAGGGTAAGAACGCTGCTTTCTTCTGGCTCTGGAGAGCGTCTTCCCCGTGGGGTGTTCCTCCTCTTTCGAGAAGGAAAGGCCATTCCCAGCCACACAGACCGTGCTGGAGTGCGCGTGCCTTCCTCCAGCTCATCTGCCGATTTTAATTCTCGGGCCCAACCGAAAAACACCGAGAGGTAAAACGTTGCCTCCCCACCCACCGTGGTCTGGAGGCTGGAGGAGATTTTCTGTTCGACTCAGTACAGGCTGAGCTCTGTCCCGGCAAATCCCCATGAATCCCCGTGCTGCAGCTGTGACCCCGTGACCCTCAGGACCCCAGGGTGTGGCTGCGCTTGGGCGTGGAGCTGTAGAGATTGTGAAGGTAAAGCGAGGCCGTGCGCGTGGCCCTGACCCCGGGTGGCCGGCGTCCTTATGAGAAGGGGAGACGGGGACGCAGCACACAGGACGACCATGTGAGGACACGGAATATCGAGGATGCAGCACACAGGATGACCATGTGAGGAATACGTCCTCTTCGCGCCAAGGAGAGAGCCTGGGTGTGAGACACCTTGCCCCCAGCACCGGAGGGAATGGGCTCCCACTGTTTAAGCCGCCTGCCTGAGCAAACCCACACGGACCGCCCGGCAAGGCCTCGCTGGAGCCGCGGCCACAGCAGGGTTTCGTCCTGGTGCCGTGTGGCTGGGGGGAGGCGCAGGGCCGGCAGCGTTTGCACCCCACCACTGCCCGCAGGGCTGCCTTTGTCTTCCTGAGTTATCTGTGTCCCGTTTGCCCTGATAGGGAGAGAAAGACTCAAACACCCCGTCACAGAGGGAGACCCGCGTCTGTGCTGCAGGCAGCCTTGTTAGGGCCTGGTGCCGGTTCCCCGCCCTCCCTGGTGGAAAGACCAGACGTGAAAACACAGAACCCACCCCAGCCCCAGCCTGCGGGAAAGAAGGGAAAACATAGAACACAGAACCCGCCCCAGCCCCGGCCTGCACAGAAAGCTGCCCTGTGCTGCCTGGGACCAGCCGATCTTTGGCCTCTGACCTTCCAGTGATGTCACAGCAGCCCCCTGGCAACAGCGCACCCAGCACCTCCTGACTACTCCCTGCGGGACGGCTGGGTGTGAGGGTGGCAGCCTTGCGCTCGGGCCGAGGCTGGGCTGGAGGATGGAGAAGGACACGGGGAACACACACAGGAGGCACCGGCCCGGCCCCAGGGTCCTGCCCTTAGGAGTGGCCCTCGGGCACCTCAAGGCGGCCAGCGAGGCCTCTGAACTTCAGCGGAGCAGGAGTCTGGAAGGCCTGCAGCTCAAGAGGGACCCTCCCAGCCACCCTAGGAAGCCTCGTAAGGAGCCAGGTAGGGGCTGTGGGGCCGCGGGGAGCGGGTGGACGGCGCGGCTGCTCCACCAGGTCCTGGACCCAAAGTACCCACGTTAGGGCCCAGCCAGTTAGAAAGTCACTTCCCAAGGTTAGGGACGCGCTGAGACAGCCCCAGGAGGTCTGACAACGTGTGTCCAAGGCGGAGCACAGCCCGGTGTCGTACATTTTAGGGGGACGTGGGGCATTAATCAGTCCCTGTGAGGCGTACGCTGGTTCTGTCCCGAAAGGGACAGCCCGAGGCAGGAGGGGCTCCCAGGTCGTAGGTAGAGGAGACACAGGATTGCATTCTTCTGGGTCTCGAGCAGCCTTTCACTGAACACCCAGTTTGCACGTGAGGGGTTAGCGGGAGAGTTCCTTGTACGCTAGTCCAGCTCAGTGACTGCAGTTTTACATAAGCAGCCCGGAGGAAGCCGTCAGACACGCTTGTCTCAGGCGAGCAGAGGGAGGACGGTGATCTCCGTCCCCGGTCAGCTGCCCGTCTGCATTCCCCGCGTGAAACTCCACAGAACTGCTTGGGGCAGAGCTCGTGAGGCTCGTAGGGCATTTGCTCCCGGGTGAATGACGAGGTGGCCTGTGGCCGTTTATCTCTGCGGCTCTTATTTAGGAAGAGGATGGGAGGCAGGTTTGCCTGACACATTCCCAGCCTGACTCTTCCCCTTAGCTCAGTGATTTGGAGCCCGAGATTCGTTTTCCTTCCACAGGCAGCAGGGACCGGGTCAGGCCTCCTGCCTCCCACTGCCCTGTGCTCAGAACGCTAAGGGTGGAAGAGGGGACCATTCCAGGTCCACACCTGTAACCCACCCAGGGCTGCCGGGAAGGCCTTGCGCTGCTGGGGCGGAGCTGTGGGGCTCCAGCCGGGCACAGCCAAGGGCGAAAGGGGTGAGAGGAGGGCAGGCCCGGGACCCTCATGGGCCTCCAAAGCCAGCCGACGCCTGGAGAGGGGACCATGGCCAGGCCCCCCATTTGCAAGGAGGCCGTGGGTCCCTGCGGGAGCCTCGGACCTCGCCCACCAGCGAGGAACCTGCGTAGCCGGTGTTTGACACGGATGGCTTCTAGACCGTGAAACGTGTGGGCTGCATCTGTGTCAGTCCACGCTCGC